TGTTAGGAGGCCTGAGTTCAAGTCTCAGTTTTATCATTCTCTGAGCCTTTGTTTCCTTGTCTTAAAAAAAAAATGGACACTTAAATGTGTGCTGGGCTCAGCTGACAGCAGATCACAGGGGAAGTGTTTGTTGACTATGAGGGACTGTGTGCACATGAAGGGCCAATTGTTTGAGGGCTGGGAGGGCCTCACAGAGAAGGAGATAACTGAGATAGGGGAGCGGGTGACCCAGGGAAACGCAGTGGCTTACGCACAAGCACAGAAGCATAAGAGACCCCTTGGGAAAATGGGGGGCAATCCAGGGTAGCTCAAGAGCAGGGTGCAAGAGGAGGAAGAGAGAGGAAGGAAAAGGCTTCTGAGGTCAGCTGGTGCCAGGTCATGCAGGGCCTTGAGGGACATTTAAGTTGCATATCATTCTGAGGGGAGAGGGGAGCCTTGGAAGGGCAGGCATGTGCTTTAGGAAGATCACTGTGGCTTTTTAGCGGCAGGTGTCTGGGGCAAAGGCAAGACTGAAAGTAGGGGATGGACTAACCCAGCTTGGCTAGGGATTATGAGGGCCTGAGCGGGGAGTTTGGGTTTTGGGAAGAAGGCAACCCAGGACCTGCGTGCCCAGGCAGGCAGGGGACAAGACTTCTCATCCCCCAGTGAGGCTTCAGCTAGGAATAGCAGCCCCAAGTTCTCAGGTTTCTGAGTCACCTCTTTAGGTTCACGGTTGCCCTCAGGCCAGGTCAGCCTCCTTCCTCTGTCATAATTGCTTCCTGCCAAGGGGGCTGGCCCCCTCTAATGTCCTTGAGGAAACCCTTGTAGAAGCAACTGAGCGTTTCAGAAGGAAGCAGGCAGCTCCAGCCACCACTGCCCCCAACTCCGTGTGGGAAACAGTGCCTCCCTGGCTGTTGGGGGATGTTCTGAGAGGAACACTTTACCACCAACTCGCCCCTCCCCACCCCAACTATATTTGAGTCAGTTTAGGAGGTCTCAGGGCTCTGGGCTGGGCTTGTGTGGATGGTGGAGCAGGTCATGCGCTGCATAATGACCTTTGACCAGCAGGGCAGGTGGGAGCTAAAATCCAGCCTGTGCTCCACTTGCAAACTATGCACGCTGGCATGACGGGCAATATTTGTCCAGAAGAAGGGCTATTCTAATTAGCCCAAAGGTGCCATCTACTGCCTAGCTGCATAGTTATAGGGCTGCTTCCACTCAGAGGGGGCACTTTTGCCTAATTTGTACAAAGGGCGCCATATGGACTAATGATAGTCCTGGCTCTTGGCCTTTCTTCCTACTGGCCACTAATCCACTCATTTGGGCTTTTATGACATCTTCCACTGGACAGAGGGAGAAACTAAGTCCTAGTGTCTGCTGCCATTAGCTTCCTTCTGGGGCCCAACATATCAGTGTCCAGTCTGGCCCCAGGTGATGGGACCAAGGGAGAACACCTGACCTAAAGGGTCCTTCTAAAAGCTAAACCAAACCAATCAGATCCTTTTGCTTAAGAACTGGAGCTAAGAGACCCAGAGGGGGTTGTTAGTCACTAGTGAGTCTTGATACGGAGTTGGAAATGCAGCCACTACGTGCAGGAGAACCCAGGCAGTCTGAAGAAAAGCCAAGGAAAAGAGCACAGATGTCAATATTGCCCAGGGGACAAGAGCCTGCAAGGCCCAGAGATGAGATGGAGAGGCCCAGTCACCAGTACCAGTTCTCCTGAGGCTCAGCCATCCTTGATTTTCCATCTTCAGGGTTCCTTGTAATCTGTTGCCCGCTTTTTTTGAATAAGCTCAAGTGGACCTCATGCCACATTCCCAGGCTTCTTGCTAGAACAAGGGCCTCAGCCCCAAGGATGTCCCTCATGTGCTCCCACTGTGTGAGCTCCCCCAAGTCCCCCCTCGCCCAGCCGTCCCCCAGCTTAGGGAAGAGCAGGAGCCCTCAGCACAGTCACACCTTTTATTCACTGTCAGTGGGGAAAAAACACACCACACAGCACAGGGTGGAACAGTGAGGACAGTCACTGTGGGCACAGCCAGAAGCAGCACCTCTGGAGGGGACAGGGGGCTACATTGGAGCACCCGTGGTGAGTTCGGCCCCTCTCCCCTGCCGCCAGCTCCCCTGCTTCCCCAGACCTCCTCCCCCCTGCTGCTTAGAAGGCCCTGGGCCTGACCAGCCTGCGCCAAGCAGGAAAGTTCATACACCCTGCCAGGCCCCGTCCTGCCCCATGCTCTGGCAAAGGTAAAAAGAAAATCCTGAAAATTTCAGAAAGCAAATCCCATATATTTCTGAGACTTCAATTGCAGGATTTGACATATTTTTTTTTCAAGAATGATGAATAAATTTGTAGCAAATGTATTCTTGCCCCCAAAGTGATCTGTAGAGTTAGCACAAAGCCTCACCCAGGGTAGATCTTCAGGAAATATCGGTTGCTTTAATAAATTTTTGTGTAAAAATATTTACAGTGTCTGCTTACTACCCTGCCCTGAAACCTCAGCTTCTTCCCTTATTCTCTCTCTTTCTTTTCTCACCCCACTCCACCCCGCAGCAAGATGAATTTCTACCAGTAGGGACTCTGCCATTGTCAGAAAAAGGAAGGATTTAGTGCCTTTGCTTACGAACTTACTTTTCCTTAGCTTTTGATTTAAAAGTAAGTTAAATAATCCTGACTAGATAGCTCAAAGTGGCCATCTGAAATAGCCCCTGCTGATGATTTTTAGAGGTAAGAAACAAAGAGCTCATCAACTAGCCCAAAAGGATGAATGTGGGCAGAATATATAAGAAGGCAGATTCTGGGACTTTGCAATTCACAGAGCTGTTGTAAGGAGATACGGAATTTCAAAGAAGAGTTTGGATACAGCAGTGCTTTAATTGTCTGCATATTTTTGTGTCTGCGCAAGTCATATGTAAATCTCTGCTAACCTTGGCAAATCCCTCTCAGCGGGGGCAGGGATGGGAGGCTTGCCTTTCTTGTCATGGCAGGGCCAGTGCTCTACCACAGGGGCTCCTAGACACACAGTTCCCCAGGACAGCCAGGAGCATGAGGGAGCAAGGTCTAGCCTGCCTGTGGCTCCTCCCATCAGCAATATGGTGGTCCCAGCTCCTGCCCTGGCATTGTGCTCACACTGCTGGGCTGTCTGAATACTGGGCCTGACCAGCAAACATCGCCCATGGGCATGTATCCAGAAGCTTAGAGTAATCAAACATGCCCTCTTGGTAGGACTTGCCTGCCAGCTTGGAAAAAACAAAAACAGTTCTCCCAGGGAGGAAGGTGGTGGCAAAGACAATGCAGGATGCTTCCAGGGTTCTGAGTCAGAGGCCTCCCAGGATAGCACTGGTCTGTTAGCAGAGCCACCCAGAAGCAGCAAACAGGAGGCTTGAAAATATGGGTCTTCAACCAAACTCCTATTCCTTTTTGGATGACCACAACCTCAGAAACTTTTTAGTAGGAAGCTTGTGTTATAAAAGATGAAAATCAACTGAGCTTGCCCCACCATCACCCTCTGCATAACTCGGTCACAGAAATGGGCAGGGAAGAGACTCCGAAGGGAAGAAATCCTCTTAGAGCTTGGGTTCAAGTCTTGGCACTGTGTCACCTCCTGACTGTGTGTTCTTGTACAAGTGTTTCCCCATCTCTGAATCTCAGCTTCCAAGTCTGGAAAAAGGGAATGAAAATCTCTACCTCCCTGGGCTGCGAGGATAGGATGAGATGGGGTAGATGCCAAACTTTAGAAAGCCCTGAAAATCTGTGTGATTGTGAGTTAGATTAGATTCAACATCTGGCGGGGGGGAAGGTACCCCACTTAGTGAAAAGCCTTCTGCCAGAAGATTCAGGTCCCAGCTGAGGCTGTTGGGCATCTATGTGTCTATGGTGCTGACTAATAGCACAAGACACCTAGTAGCCACTCCTGAGAGCAGTGGACCATCTCTGGAGGCATTACTGGATAAAAATCTGCTAGTTACTGCCTGAGGATGTGAATTCCCCAGCCTGCCACATGCTGGTCATAAGCAGGAAGATAGAAAAAGGGTGGCAACTCAGTGGCCTTGCTACCTCCAAGGGCCCAACAGAGCTTAAGACCAAAGGTCAGCATCGCCAAGAGTCTTCACCTGCAGAGAGGCAGGACAGGTAAGCCCTCAGAAGTGAGGAGCGCGCTGCTTCTCTTTCCTGTAGATGCGATTCTCCCACCCTGGGCTCAGTGATCATTCCCTATTCCCACCCTGGGCTGACAGCACCTGCGTACTAGACTGTTTTCACCAGCAGTTCAAGAGGAAATCAACTGTCACTGCACATCAAAGCTAATTTCTGATCGCAAGTACAGGAGAAAGTAGTGAAAGACTTGATGAAGAAGCAAAATTAGTTGTTCTGGCAGTCAAAGCATGCAGCTGTAGAGCTCATGGATCCAAAATTGGAAAGCAGGCATTGGAAAGCAGAGCCAGTGCACTTGGGAGATGGTGAATTACCTGGCAGACCTAGGATTTGGGGTTAGAAAAAGCCTTTTGAATGGAGCGTGTCCAGCACAGTTTTAGGCATTTGGTCCATAAATGCAGTGCCTAACAGTGACTGGGAGGTCCTTTGCTTCTAACTCCTTCTGCTTTGGTAGCAATGAAAGAACAAGCTCACCCCTGAAACTACACCAAATCCAGAAACGAACTACCAGGAAGTGGGATATACACTTGTCTCGCTCTTGGCAGACCTTGTTTTTTCTGTCTCTGTGGTCAGCACCCAACCAGAGTAAGTGTGCAGTAGAGTTGTTCGTTGAATTGAAAAAGGTAATGAAAAGGAAGCAGCAGAAGCCGCAAAAACTGCTGACGGTGACAGCTCAGGACTTAGCCTGATAAGAAAAAGTGTTATCTGGTAAATTTGGTGGTATTTTCCCTCTTTTGTTCTCAGAAAAAAAATTTTCCCCTGAAAATTAGCATTTTCTCTATTCATTTAATCATTTTATAAGAAACCAAGTAATATAGAGTACATTTTAACATCCTAAACTAATAAAATGACTTTAGCTCTTTCAAAGGGTTCTAAAAAAATAGGTATTACATAAATTTCATTTTTCTTAAGACTTCCACTCACAGGGCTCCTAAACATCCAAATGCTTTTCATTCCATCCTCTGCAGCTCTGTGTGGAGCCCAGCTGCAAGATGTGATAGCTCCTCTCAAACTAAGCAGCCTTGCAGCACCCTCTGCTCAGCTATGCTGGACAGCCCAGCCTGAGACCCTGACCACCGGAAGTTTGCCTCACTACCCTGAGAGCTTCCAGAGGGCATGGAATGTGTCTTGTAAACTACCACCTCCTTGGCACTTAGAGATGTCTGGCATTGAATAAGTGCTCAATAAACATTAGCTGAAGAAAGAACAAATGAAAGCTCCAAAGGCTGGGGCCAGAGGGGCCAGGTAGGGTCAAGGGGACAGGGCAGAGACCACCTTTAAGGGATGTGGGTCCTCCAGAAAGGACAGATCCAATTTGGCCTTGTGATGGGTCTGTGGGACCACATTCCATAAAGCACAATCCCAGGAACAACAGAATTTCAAAGCAGGATCCCAGCCCCCCTCCTTAACCCTGCCTCTTAGGGCAAAAGCCAACTCCCTTACGCCCAATGGATGCTGGTTCTGGGCCAAGGCTGGGTTGGGGCTAGACGACAGGATATCTGAGGACCTGTCTCTTTTGCAAAGTGAGGTGGTCCCTCAAAGGTCTTGACTGTGGGGAGAAAGGGCTTGGGCAGAGGAGCGTGTGGGTCAGAGAGTGAGACTGGATTGCCCCTCCCCCAGGGAAGGCCAGCCAGAGAGGTCATCAGGTTGGGAGGTGGCTATACCCCTCCTGGCCAGGGGCCCTGCCCCTCACCAGCCTCTACTTCTGCATGTCACACTGCAGCAGCAACACAATGGATGGGTCACTCTTGGCTGCCTCCTTGAACTCCTCCAGCGTAATCTGGTCATCCTTATCCTGGTCCATCTTCTTGAAGATCTTATCCACACGCTGCTGGGGTGTGAGCCCATCCTGGTTCATGCGCATCATGATCACGGTGCCCACCATCTTGTAGATAGCCTGGCAGGGCGAGGAAGGAGGTGTGAACATCCACAGGGGCAAGGAGGATGGGATGAGTGAAGGGATCTGGGGGCAGGCAGGGGTAACGCTGGGGTGTGGTGAGGAGACCGGAAGGTGATACATGGTCATTAAGACTGAATATTTAACGAGCATCTCGTAACTTAGACTAATAATGTTTATTTAGATGAAACATGTCTAAAGACAGCTCTTCACCCCGGCCTGCTCCTCCTGCAGCATTCCCTGTCTCCGTGTGTCGCAACTCCATTCTGCTCATGCCTTGGACCACAAACCTGGATGCCACTCTTGACTCCCCTCCTTCCCTCAGAATCCACATCCACCCTTCTGCAAATCTTGTCAGCCCCAGTTTTGTGATAGATCCCACATCCAAGCGCTCCCTCCCACTTCTACTGCCCCTCTGTGACTGTGGCCTCCCTCAGCTGGCCGCTGAACTAAGGTCGGAGTCTCCTAACTGGTCCCCTGCTTCTGCTATCCCCATCCCAAGCCTTTCTCCCTCCATCACCTTCACCAGAATAAAACTGGTCTCTACCCCAGTCTATGAGACTCCTGGCTCCTTTCTGACCACCTCCCTATCACCCTCCCCTCACTCACTGCTCTCCTGCCACCCTGGCACCCCCGCCACTGGTGGAATTCCACACACACACTCCAACCTGCAGGTACGGCTCCCTCCCATGGACGGCTCTTCCCAGACACCCAGGGCTTAGCTCCCTCACCTGATTCCGGTTGCTGCTCACCTTTCACCTTCTCTAAAATCACTTTTTCCTCCCTCACTCTCTCCCCTTACTTTGCTTTATTTTCTTCATAGCCCTTATTGGCCATGCACGGCATAGGCTTATCTACTTCTTTTTTAAAAATTTCTCACTAGAAGGAATGTCCCGGGAAAGCAGGAACTTTGAACGGTGCCTGGCACCGTGGCAGGCACTCAATGCATATCTGTTGAAAGAATGAAGAGTGAAGAACATAGGCTCTGGGGTCAGAACCGCCGCTAGCTACCGTTTCCTCATCTGTAAAACGGGGCTCCCGACAGTACCTCCCACATCGGGGAGTTGGGTAAAGCGCTTAGCGCAGGCCTGCGAGGGAGGGCCGGGGCAGCGGGGAGGGTGGCTGGCGGGGGCGGTGTCGCGCAGGGCGCACCTCGATGATCTCCAGCATCTCCAGGCGCGTGATGCGGCCGTCGCCGTCCAGGTCGTACATCTCAAAGGCCCAGTTGAGTTTCTGCTCAAAGCTGCCGCGGGAGGTGACCGAAAGGGCGCAGATGAACTCCCGGAAGTCGATGGTGCCGTCGCCGTTCTTGTCGAAGGTGCGGAAAGCGTGCTGCGCGAACTTGGAGGCGTCGCCGTAGGGAAAGAACTGAGTCGGGGCGCGGGGCGTTGGGGCGCAGCGGCAGCCCTGCTCTGCCCTGCCCTGCCCTCCGTGCCCGCCCCGCCTCCGCATCCCCCCCCCCGTCCCCACCCCCGCCCCGGGCGCCTGGCCCTGCCCGCCCACCTTGATGTAGAGCTGCTGGAACTCCTCCAGGTTGAGGATGCCGCTGGGGCAGTCCTTCAGGAAGCCCTTGTACCACTGCTTCAGCTCCTGCTCGCTGAACTCCGTGTTCTGGACCAGGTCCTCCAGCACCTCGGGGGCCAGCTTGCTGTTGGTCTTCCCCATGGCGGGGCCTCGGGGACGAAGGGGTCCCTGCGTCTTGGTCCGGGCAAGGTCCTCACCTCAGCAGCGGTCCCCGAGACCCCCTATGACGGAGAGGGTTCCCTTTCTCCACAACACCCGCCGCCCATGACCAGCCCAACTTTGCCGCAGCCGGGGTCCCTTCCTCTCAGTACCACCCCAACAAGCCCCGCCTTCCTAAGCGGGGCTCCATCCCTCACCCCACTCTTCCCACAGGAGGGCCCACCTTCCGGCAGCAGCATGCTCCTGTCCCTTCTCCCACACAGGGGGTGGTCCCTGACCCTCATGACACTCCACAATAACAGGGCCTCCTCTCTTCTCGCACCCCACAGCAGATCCCTCCCCCCACAAACACAGCAGTCTCCTCTCCTGGCGCCCAGGGGTCCCCAGCTTCCAGGTCTTCAGCTCTGCTGCTGCTAAGGCTGCAGCATGCACAGTCTTCATCCTCTCCGCTCCTGCGCGCACATCCCATGGCTCCCCAGGCCCACAGAATAAAGCCGCGGCTCCTCTGCTTGCTAGTCAGGCCTTTCTGCACTCAGCCCCCACCCTCCTTGACAGGCTCCTCTCCTGCCAGGGACCTGAAGCAGGCTCCTCCTGTGTCCCCTGGTGTTCTCTCCCAAGTTCTTTCTCAGGGCCTTCAACAGCCACCCCAACAGGAAGCTTCCCTCCCTCCTTCCTCTGTACAAACAGAAATCCCAGTCTGTAGCAGCGATGGCCCTGATGACATTCTGCTTCTCATTAACCCATTCGTTCCCTGAGCATTTACTGGGGCTGACGGTGTGCTAGACCCTGTGCCAGTGATGGAGATAAAGCAGATGCAAATCAACCCCCAATAACTCATAACTGGGTCAAAGAGGTAGATGGCTGATTGCAAAGGGCCTTCAATCCGTGCCAAGGAATTTAGACTTTACCTGTAGGGACAGACGCTCCTGGCAGTTTTAAAGCAAGGAGTAGGAAGATCGCGTTAATTCCACAACACTAACAGAAAGCTTACGATGTGCCAGATCCTGACCTAGGCCCTGGGAACCCAGAGAGAAGGTGTGTGTTTTAGAATTTGTCCTTCGGCCACAGTGTGCAAGATGACCTGGGGTGAGGGCAGGTAGGTAGAGCAAGGAGGAGCCTGCTATATAGTTCAGGTGAGAGACGACGATGCTAGGGTAGGAGTTGTGGAGAGATGTGTATGGATAAGAGACGTTAGGAGTGGGCATTGGCGGGACTTGGTGACTGATTAGATGTGGGGATGAGAGGGACAGAGGAGTTGGGGCAGAGGCTCAGATTTGGGGCTCAGTGGATAGAAATGTTGTTGCTGAGAAGCAGGTTTGAGGAAGATCGAGAGTCATTCCCCAGCTGGAACATGAGCCCTTCAAGTGGTCTGTGCCAGGGGAAGTGTTTGCAGAGGGTGGTACAGCCTCTCCCCCGGAGGCCTGGCTAGGCCTTGAAGGCTGGGTAGACACTTCTGTCTGACCTCCATGAGAGGAATGTTCCTCCAGAGCCTGGGTTTCCCAGGACATGGCCTGGGAGGTGCAGCCGACCTGCCTAGAGTCTCTTTGGAAGAGAGCCAGGCCCCCACTCCAGGGTAGCCTGTCCTCAAGATACTCTGGAAAAGGAAGCCCTTGGACTGGCAGAAGGAATTCCACTTCCACAGCTCTCCCCCTGCCAGTGTAGCCTCTAATCCTTACTTCTCAGAATACCCCTTCTGAGGTTGGTCCATTCCATGCCCCCTCCTTTGCTGGGCGACCTCGAGCTAGTTACAGATTATCTCTGGACCTCAGAATCCTCTACTGGGTCATGAGGAAGATGCAGGAGCAGTGACGGTAGCAACATCCTTCCCCACCTACCACATGCAGAGGATGAGGACTCCTATGACCTCAGGAGAAGCCAGGGAGGGGGAAACATGCCATCTTCAGGAACCTGGGGCTGTAGGGTCCAAAACAGCACACTGGGGCCAGAGACAAGGATGCCTTTGGAACACCCATGGACAGAAGGAGGTAGGCTCCGTTCCTCTCCCCAAAAGGATTCTGAAGGCTCTGAGTACAGTCAAGGAAGCTGGAGAAGCCACAGGCAGAGGTGTCTGATGGGGGGAGGCAGAGCCTCTCCCGCTGTCTCCTGTGGGATGTGCCTGAGTGTCTGCATGAGGGGCTGGGTCTGTGTGTGGGAGCGCATCAGTGTATGAGGCTGCAAATCTGTCAGAGCGCACACATCTCTCTGTGTGTGGCTTTCACCTTCTGCCCCTTTCCTCCTCCCTGCCCTGCGCTGCGCTGCCTTCTCCACAATTCTCTGTCTCCTGTTCCCTGCCCCTCTTGGGTCTCAGACCCAGTGAGGACTAGGCCTTCTCCTTCATTTCTCCTCATCCTTCTGCTGCTGTTAGAGGTCAAAACTGGCAGTGCCCTTTAAGATCATACCCTTACTTCCGTGCAAACTGCAATTGAGAGACTGGAGAAAACTGGCTCGGGGTCACACAGCAGAAGGGTCTAAATGAGCACTCAGCTGAATCCACGCCACCTGCCCAGACCACCCTCTCCAAATCATGGCTGCTCCTGTGCAGCAGACCTTCTCCACCCCCAACCACCTCTGGGAAAATCTTAGCTCTGATCCCCTTTCGGCCTCACTGGGACCATCTGGCCTGAGCTCCAGGCCACAGGAGCTCTGATACCCAGGAGATATCTTTTCCTAGGGGTGCCCACCAGCACCTCTAGGTCAGCAAGTCTACAGCCAGACTCACCCTCAACCTGAGATGGTCAGACTCTCTCCACTGCTCCTTCCTTCTCTCTCTCATCCCCTGGGAGTAGGGAGGAAACACAACCTTAGTTACCTTCGGTCTTCCCCTTTCCCTTTTCCCTAGGTCAACCTGCCATTGAGTCCTGTCGTTTCTTATTTTGAAGTGTTCCTGGAACCTTCACTATGTTCGTAGCCAGAGCACAGCCAAGGGGCCTTAAATCCAGCTGGGGCTCTGTGTGCCAAGCCATGTCCAAGCCATGCCCACCCCATGGGGTTCTCCTGCCTCACAAGAGTGCCTTTCTTTTGATTCCTCTGTTCCAAGGTAATGGCTTTTTTTTTTTTTTTTTTTTTTTTGCTCAGAGGTACAATATAGGCTAGAGGTGGCCATGCCCACGGGCCCCCTGAAACTCCAGAATCTTCTAGAATCTGGTCTCAAGGTGCCCACCTATCAAGCTTCACCTCCCCCTGGCCCCCTCGCAGCTGCATACTCCTCTCAAGCCAGGCTCCCCGCAGCCAGAGCCAACCTCACCTATCTGCTTGGCTATTTTCCTCTCCACTAACATCCTTTCTTCTCTTCTGGGCCGACGCAAGCCATAAGCAGCCTTTGGGGCCTGGCTGAAGCCCATTTCCGTATGATCAGCCTTTTCCAGGCTGGACTGTCAGCAGCATGGGCTTGGTGCTTTGGGCATGAGTAGACCCTGGGAGGTCGTGGAGTTGAGCCCCGACAAGTGTGTAGACTTCAGAGCTCTCTGTCCCTCACCTGGTGCTGTAGAATGCAGCCTGATTTGGGAGAGGCCTTTGCATTAAATCCTGCCTGAGCCAGAACAAGTTCTCCAGGCTTTTTTGCTCAATGGCAAGGAGCTTATCCCCTCCCAATATGACCCAGTCCGCTTTTGAGCAGCCTGGACAGTGAGAAAAGTGCTTTTCTCATTTTTCCTGAGTTTGCCCTCTTGTAGCTCCCCCATGTGGTTCCCATTCTGCCCTCTGTGCCTGCACAGAACTGTCCTGTAGAGACCTAATGGCAGTGCCTCGGACACAGTGATGTTCAATGAATGTCTCTTGGTGGATTATGTGAGACGTGCAGAACCCGCTTCTTCCTCCTTGGAACTATGTCTGGCTGCTTTGTTTGTCTCTGGTCTCCTGCTATTGCACCCACTTCAGAGACAATGGAACCCAGACCCAGGGAAAGGAAGGGTTCACCCAAGGTCAACTACTGCCCATCAGGAAAACGAAGGCCAGAACCCAGCTGGGGGCATGTTTTGTAGACGCTGTGGCCCTGCCAAACACGGACAGGCTCCTCTGCCTACCTCTTGAGGGCTGTCCTGAAGCTGTGAAGGAGCTGGCACTGCCCCATACACAAAACCACTGCCCCTCTGTGCTCAGAGGCTTCTTCCAGAGGGCTTGGGGTTGTGGGCTTTGAATGGAGAGGTGGCAGCAGGAGTGGGAGGGACTGAAGGAGGCAATAATCCCACACCCTCACCCAGCTTCAGAGGAGCTGGTGCTGAGGCGGTTGCCATGGTGACAACAGCTCCCTGGTCAGGAGATTTTCTCTCTTTCCTCTCCTCCCTTTGCTCTTCCCCAAGCAACAGCAACAGCAGCAGCGACCAGGTCTTCTCCCTCTCCTTAGTGAGAGGCAGGGGATAACAAACAAAGGGTGGGCCCTGTTGGCCACCTCCAATACGGAGCTGTCCCTGCCCGAATGGGCTGGTAATCTAGGAGGGACTGACTCCTAATAGAAGGGGCCTGGAGAGTGTGTGGGAGCGGGTGGCCTGTACCTAGGCCTGGGTAAGGAGGAATGTCCCTTCAGCAAGAACTGAACGCCCCAAGGCATCCTCTCTGAAATGTCCTCGTGGTTCAGAGTCCTGTTTTCTCATAATCAGCCATAGAACTAGAGTGTGTCACTTTTGGAAGGCTGTTCAAGAGCATCTCATCCAGTCCACCCTCTTTCCTGCCCTCATCCCCATTTCATGAAGGACCAGAGACAGAAGTTTCTTGGCCAAAGTCAAACAGCAACTGAGGCAAAGGCAAGATTTGAATCCAGCTCTTCTGCCCTCCAGGTGCAGGCCACCTTAGGGCAAGGGATGACACAGCCCACATGGAGCTTTGGCAGGGTCCCCATGGAGGATGCAGGAGGATGGAAGAGAAGGAGCAGCTAGGCACAAGAAGGCCAGAGCGCATAGGAATTAGAAAGAAATTGGAGAAATAGAATGGGAGGACTGGGTGCTTTGGCTGTGAGGGGTGAAGGGAATGAATGGAGGAGGCATGGAGGCTGGGGCCTTGGCAGTGGCTGAGAGGGTACAGTGGTCTGCTGGGGGATGGTGGCCCTGGTTCATCCTCCAGCCAGGATGGGAGGCCAAATATGGGGCCTCTGCCAGGCACTGGGGGTCATGGGGGAGAGATTGTCAAGAGAGTATCTGTGAGGAAGAAAACTGGGGGGAGGGGGTCTTCCCTCCCGCAGGTATACTGTAAGCTCTGTTTGCTTTGGGGTGGGAAATGGGGACAATGCAGGGGACAGTGTGAAGAGGGAGTGGGCTCTCTGGAGGTGGAGGCTGTCTTTGGGGACAGGAGCCAGTGATGAAGTGTGTGAGCTGCTGGTGGGGCCCGGCGGTGTGGGTGGAGGCTATCTGTGCAGGTGGGAGGTTGCCAAAGCAACAGGAGGGAGGGTAATTGGCGCCTCCTCTAGCACCTGTGACACCACACCCCCAGGTGTGTGTGTGTTGGGGGCCAGAGCAATGGTGGTTCTTACCTGAGCTGGGGGTGAGGAGATAGCTCTGTCTCCGTCCCTGGCCCCGTGGTCCCTGGACCGAGTCGATGGTCCCCTGCCGGGGGGCAGGCCTCCAGATGCTGCCGCCTATGGCGGAACCAGGGGTCAGGGAGACGAATCAGGGTGCAGGAGATAAGGACGAGAATGGAGAGTGGAGGGGGAGGGGGCCAGGGCCTCCGCCCGCTGGGGTTGCCTTGAGGGCCCAGTCCCACCCTCGTTACCTGAGGCCACTCGCCGGGTCGCTGGATGATGGCTCGAGCCTCGGCGGGCCGCGGGGATCGAGGCTGGCTCTCGGGCGGACGACTGGGCTCTCCAAGGTCCGCTCCGGAGCCGCCTCCCTGCTCTTGTATCACTATGTGCCTCTAAGGCGGCACGATTTGCATAAGCCCCGCCCCATCCCGGGAAGATTGGACGTCTATTGGCTCCTCTGGGGCGGAGTGGCAGGCGGGATTTCAGGTGGGGATGGGGAGGCCAGCGAGACTCAGCCACCCGGGCGCGCCCCGCCCGCCGGCGCTGACCTTCCCGGAGTCGCCAGGAAGGGGAAAGTTTGTACCTCCCCGTGCCCCTGCCCTGAGACTCAGGCCCTGGCTCAAGATCTGGGGTGAAAAGTGTCCACGATTGAAGTAGATTCACAAAAAACAAATGCAACGTTGCTATGGAAACGGAAGAATCACAGCGAAATCTCTAAGCTTTCCCTTCCTGGGCACGAGCGGGGGCGGGGGTGGAAGAGGGGATGAGTCACAAGATGAGAACCCCCCACCCATATCCCAACCTAAATTGGAGGGGGCCAAAGAGGAGCTGCCGAGTAGCTGGGTGGGGGAGGGAGGAGATTGGGGTGGTCAGCAGTGCACGGCTTCGCGCCCCCCACACTTACTCCCCTCACGCCGGGGTGCAGAGCGGAGGGTGGTGGGTGTGCGCAGAGAGCGCAGTGGGATGGCGAAGTACTCAGCCTCTGCCTAGTCCCACTCTAGTCGTGGGTTCCCTCCAGCCACCTCTCCAGCCCTTCATTCCGGTCCCTCCCCAGAAAGGCCCTCATTTCTCACGAACCCCCAGGAGGCCTCTCGCGTTCTCCCCCAGAAGGAGCCCTCTGCCTACTCCGTGGACCCCTCCATTCCCCACCCTCCCATCTTCCCTTCCCGTAGACAGAGTTGGTCCTCAGCCGCCGCCAGGCTATGGCCTCGGATGTTGACACAAACCCGAGGCGGTTTACACTGAGCGGGTCTGGAAGGTTTCAGGGCCCCGGGAACACCTCCTCCCCGCCCTTGGGGGTCTCCCCAAAGCCCGGCCTGGCCGCCCGGGCTGCACTGGCGTCTGAGAGCGCCCAGCCCAAGGCAGAGGGAAGGAACCCTTTTACGCCCAAGTGGCGGCTGGCGGGGAGCAGATATCCCCGGACGCGCCACGTGCGGAGAAGGAACTTATAAGGACCTGTCAAAAGTGGGGCGGGCGTCTGGGGAGTGGTCAAATGGGTGTGGACTCGGCAGAGCCGCGGTGAAGAGGCGGGGCTTCTGTCTGAGGTGGGCGGGGCGACAGGGGATGGGGACAGACCTGACGAGGGAGGAGGCGAGGCTTCTGGGGCTGGTCCCAGAAATGCCCGGGCCGGGTTCGCTGGGGAGGAATCAGTGGGCGTCCCTTTTCTTTAGGAACCGCCCCATTCATCTCTTGAAACGGTTTTGCTCCACCCATTCTCCCGGCTGCTGGCTATGTCTTCTCTCTGGGGCCTTAGCAGGGGACTAGGGGATCCACTAGGTAGGAGCCACATCCTTGGCACCATGGGTTGGTGACTCACAACGGACAGATGTTTGAAATCCCTGTCTTTCGCTTCCCAGGCACCCTCTCTGTTCTGGGCCATGGGACACAGAGATGGGCAAGAACTGTGCTTGCTCACAGTCAATGGTAATCCCAGACATGAGGAAGTGGGGAGAGGCAGTCTAGGTTGCTAGAAGTGGCATCTGAAACCCTAAAATGGGGTCCCATTTATGCCAGTGATTCCACATATAACCATGGGTGAGACCTTTCTTACTCTGGGACTCCTAGTCTGTGAAATGTGGGAGCTGGTATAGGAGGCCCAGAGGAGCAGGGGAAGAATTTCAACTGAGAGGGTGAAGAAAGACTGTTATCTTGGACAGAATTATGTGGGCTTGAATCTAACAGCTCCACCTAAGAGTTGTGAGCCCCTTAACAATAGCTTATACTTATTGAGAGCTTACTTTGTGCCAGGTGCTATTCTAGGACTTTATGTATATTACCTAATTTCTTCCTCATAAGGGCTCTACGAGGCAGGTACCTTTATTGGTCCCATTTAACAGATGAGAAAATCGAGGCACAGAGAAGTTAAGTGATTGGCCCAAGTTCACACAGCTAATAAAGAGAACTACAGAGCTGGGATTTGAACCCCAGCAGTCTAGCTCTAGATCCCACACTCCTAACGGGTGCACAATACTGCCTTTCCTAACAATCCTTCAAATCCTTAAGGAGAGGGACCCTGGACTGGAATATTTGCTTCTGATTCCCCAAGGCATTAGAAAGGGAAAGTCCAGCCTCTGGGGAGCAGCCTCTCTGTCTCAGGTGAACAAGACGTGGGATTCCAGCAGTACAGTGGAGCTGGAAGTAATGAACACAAGAAGCCCTCCTGAACTGTAAGGGGGCCAGTGCATGCTTCTCCTGACCAACCCCCTCCCCCAGGCAGGACTACCCATGCAGCCTCACCCATGAATCATCTTGGGGCCCTGTGACTGTCCCTGAATTGCCAGTCATATCCCATCTTCACCTACTCATGAGACTCAACTCTGAGACCCTGATCTTGATCCTGCCTCTGTCCCCTTCAGTTTGTTGTTTAAAGTAATAACAGCTCACATTGATCGAGTTGCTTCACTACGTGCCAGACTCTCTGCCAAGTTCTTTATCTGTATCATCTCACTTAATCCCAAAGATGACCACTGTCAGGGGTGATATTAAATATATCCAACAACCCATTCAGGCACGAGCATTACCAATCAGGATGGATAGCCTTAGTGCTAGATCAAGGTCTTGGTAGCTCTCTGTTCTGCCGAGAGTTGACACTTAAGTTACTGGATCAGTGGGACAGGCAGGGGAGAGGCTAGGATGGTGGGGAGCTGAAGGCTATGGCTGTCTATTTACTACTCAATCTGGAAGTATTTTGATGCTTTAACAACCAGTTCAGCTGTACCAGTGCATAGGGACTGAATTCAGCCCCAGTATCATTACTTTATTTCATGGCAGAGGATGGAGGCTCAGTGAAGTTAGACAATTTGTCCATTGTAACACAGCTTGTTAGCCGCAGAGCTAGGATTCCAACCTAGGTCTGACTCCAAAGCTCGCACTCTTAACCTCTGGCTGACCTGTGTTCCTGGAAAAGGGTAGCATTCAGAACTGAGCTGGGATTTCCACTATTAGGCAGCTGAAGTCTGAACTAGAGGAATGTGGCTTAAGTTTTGGGGCTTTGTCGTGGCCTTACTGTTCTCAGGCTTGGAGGCTTGGCAAGCACCTGTTCTAGGTTGTTGAAGAAGCAGGCCCTGAAGAATGAGGAGAGCAGAGCAAGCTGCATGGAAGAAGGACAGGGTGGCTGTGCAGGGGTCCCCAAAAGGGGATATACAGGTACTTGAGCCCCACAGGGTTTCAGTGAGAGCAGAGGTCTGCAGATCATGGCCACTTCAATTTGCTTCACCTAAGTGCTAGCATTCCCCTCATCCTGGGTCTTGAACAGTGTCTTTATGATGGATAATGCCTTCTTGATTCCCTGGATTTTCTCTGCTTTGGCTAGTGCAGCTTGGTGACAGCTGGAATTCCTCCAGGTCCTAGATAGTTCAGTGTCTCTCTTGTGGCTGAGAAAGAGTGAGATCGCTGGAGTTGGGTTCCTTCCCTTTGCCTATTGGCTAAGCAGGATTTTTTTTTAATTTCCAATATATAATAGAAATATTTCTATTATCTTTTTTTTTTTTTGCTTGTTTAACACATGGTAGCTAAAAAAAGAATGATACGCAATGATAGAGATTAGAAGTTTCCCATAATCCCTTGAGTGACAACTTCAGGGAACTTTATGTCTTTGCCTGTCCTGCCTCCATACCCTCCTCTTCTCCCGGAGAAGCCTTGTATGTAGTGGCTTAAGTGCACAGACTTAAGCCAGGCTGCCTGTGTTGACATCCCAGCTCTATCATTTACCAGCTGTGTGGCCGTTTAACCTTTCTGTGTCTCAGTTTGCTCATCCGTAAAATAGGAATAATAATAACAGTACCTATTTTATAGGGCTACTCTGAGGATTAAAGTGACTTAATATATGCAAAGTGCTTAGAACAGATTTTACTTTGGAGAATTGCAGTGTGCGGTAATACTGCCCTATTGTGTACAATCTTGGTGGGAACTATCAATCCAGGTGTCTTGTCTTTGGACAAGGGATGGACATATGATTCAAGTAAGGCTAAATTGTCTCTCTTTCTATCTTTCTCCTCTCCTGCTGCCCACCCCCACCAAGAAAATCTGAATCTCGAGGAAAGTGACTCAAGGATTGTAGATGGTTAGCACTGGTTTATTCCAGGGCAGTGCCCTGATGACACCGTCCATTCATTCCTGCTATCTGAGTCCCCAGGGAACACTCTGGTACATGTCCTTTCCAAGAACTGCTTTTTCTCCTTTTCCTTTGGTTCTGTAAGCCAACCCCCATCCTTCCCCATAATTTCTTTTTTTGAATTTAGGTTGTCCAGAGATGATTTCTGTGTGCTTGCCAAGAACACGTATAAATTTGACATATTTCTCTATCAGTTATGACTCTTCATTGCAAGGGACAGAAAGTCCAGCCCACAATGGGTTAGGCAAAAAGAGAGCATTATGGCTTAAGTAAGGGAAAACCCTGGACATAGATCGGACTTTAGGGGATGGCTGGATTCAGGGGCTTAAACAATGTGATTAATAACTGACCTCTTTCCGGGGCTCAGCTTTGCTCTCCTGAGTGTTGGCTTCACTCTTGGGATCCACGTAAAGGAAACATATCTGTCAGCATCTCCAGACTAACGTACTCTCAGGTTGGAGTCCCACAGAAGAGAAGAGCGCTTGTCTTTTTCCCTGTGCTAGAATCAATTGCTGAAGATGGGGATGGGGGGATGCAGTGCTCTGATTGGCCAGGGTTGAGTCACTTGCCCACGCCTAGAACTGGGAAGTCAGGTCAACTCCTCCCAAAGGATGTGCACCCGGCGTAGGAAAGGAGGGTATTCCTACCAAGAAAAGGGTGAATAAATGCTGGATAAAAAACACATGACAGATGGCACTCAAAGGGATAATTGAAGATAGGTCAGTGAGGGAACTATGTACACAGATACGGGCAAAGCTGAGAGAAATCAATAAGGTATTGCTGAGCACCCTGGAG